CTATATCACCTACAGTAATAGACACTTTGGGCTTTGCACTGTTGTGGGCAATGAAATAAATGCTATTTTGCTGTGTTCATTTGTTGTTGTTTTTAAATATTACACAAATGTAGTTATTTTGACATTTACTTATTTCGTTAATTACATTACTGGCAATTACTGGTATACAATATTACATATATGTGCTTCAAATTAGGTCTTCTAAAGTTTCACGAAAACTCAAAATTCCACATTTTCAGAACCCCCCAAAGGCCATGTTTTGGAAAATTACTCCAAATTTCTTGTTTCAAGTTTTAGAATGGACTGAATAAAATGACAAATGCCATTTTGATGCCATTCCGTTTTGGCATTTGAAAAACTACACAAATGTAATTTTTTGAAGTACTCTCATGTTGTTAAATTTGTATTATCAGGAATATTACACTTTTGAGTCAGTTTTCAGATTTGCATATCTATGTACGGAGCAGACTATTAACCAGCTCAAAGAGTAGTGTATTCTTTTGTCTGCCCAATTCAAATGTTAAACAAGTCTTTAATTGATTCTATAACTAAGTTGCAATATCAACATTTTTCAAAATGATACTCTTTTAGCTTTTGATGTTTTATTTGATTAAGATATTGGCAAGATACAAAAGTGTAGCTACTAAAATAATTGTAATCCAAAAGTTGAGATCTTTGACAGTTTTAATTCATGTTAGAGTTATGAATAGTTTAGGTTAGAATATTGTCCCCCCTCCAATGGGTGATGGATGGTCTTATTATTCAAAGTAAAAATGGTATTTCTAAACAATGTCTTGGGTAAAAGAAAAGGTACTTAATGTTATAGGGTATTTTCAGCATATCTGTTATCTCAATCAAGAAGTAAATCTGTTTCAACCTTCGTTTATTGATTTCAGTATCTAAGGAGGCAGATAATGCTTTTTTTTTTTTTACATCTACACTGGAATATTTAGGCTATACTGTGTAATGCTGTGTATGAGAATGAAAAACACTATGTGTATGCAATTTCCACATCCATATGGTATCCCATGCACAAAGACTATGCACATATCACCATATTCTTTGTTTTTAAAATCCTTCTACACAGCATAAACACTGCACACAGATAACATGACATTTTGCTGTGGCTAGAAATTTGCCAGTATACTACACAGACTTATGGAGAGCATACAAGAGATGTAAATACACTTAGAAAGTGATGCATGAATATGCTACTGTTATACTGGTGTTGCAAAGTTAAAAGAAAACCAAGAAGGGAAGGGTTCATTTATTATTGCTCAATGAAACCAGCAATGTGCAAGATAATCCAGAGATTAAATTTGCCGATCCACTGAAAACAATGCATGTAAATAATTAAAATATTAATAACGCACCAAGCAATACATGAAATTCTCACTAAAATTTAATAATTGACATATTAACAAAAATGTATGGTACAATACTGTGCACTTTTGATGTATGTATAATGGGAAAAATCACATTTACAAGTTTTGTTTTATGAAGGATGAAGAAGCATTTAAAGACACAGACAAAAGCTCATGTTCTAATTCAACTTCAACCAGTCAATTATCGACCATCAAATTAGCTTATTTTGACAACAAACAAGCTAATTTGAGCTTATTTCCATGATTTGGAAGAGTATTCAAGAGCTTCACCATTCCAAGTCATTGTAAATACTAAACTGAATAATGTTTCCCAGAATTTTTATTATCAAAGAAAATAGATGCAGGTAGAAAAACATTTACAAGTAAAAGGGCAAAAGTTTGTGCGGTCCTGAGTAGAAGTGTCACTCAGAAATACACAAGTAAGTTTCCAAGGAGGTGGGCCAGGTTCCTTATTTCACTGTGAAGATCTTAACATCACTGTGGTCACCAATGTTTGTCTCACTGTATTGAGCAATACAATAAGACAAAGATGGCCATATCAGCAATGTATCCAGTTTCTAATGTTATCGTCAATGCAGCGACATTATTTAATTTGTAGCCAATGCCCACCATTCTCACAACTACATTTGCTAGAACATCATTGTTAAGATAATACAGATTACTTTACTTCTACTAAATATAAGCACAATTATTATAAAACACAACTTTAGAAGAGATTACTATGGGATTGGGAAAGATTTGACATTCTGTATTGTCAAATGCTTCCCTACAATGTTCCTCTTTCCTCAGGATAATACAATAGCCAGCTATTCTGGGAAATATTTTCACGATACACAATAAGCATTCTTTTTTTCCCTAAATGTCTAAGTTTAAAAGCCCCATAGATTAAACAATGAAATCAATGTTCGTAGAAATCTCTTTCTTTCATGCAGCACAGGATCGAGCCATGTTTAGCCACAAATTGTTAACAAAAATTGATAAATTACAATAAACTTAAAAAATTTAAAAAATAATATTTTCATGCAAAATTTTATATAGCATTCTCTCTTGTTTCTACTTGGCGTTAACAATGGGCTAAAAGGTTCTGATCCCACATTGCAAGTGGGTGCTCTTTTTTGCCCCTTGCGCTCCGGCCCTCACAAGCGGAAGGGGATCAACTGTTTTTCAAGTTTCTCTGGAGATGGAGGTGATACAAAATTCCTTTCATTATATAGAGTAATAATTACATTCAAGACTTAAATATTCAATCAAGTAAAGCCTCATTTGCAGTGCACTTTTCATAATCAATACGATGTATTGCTATAATAATGTATCAAAAAGGCACTGTGAATGATGAATTTACTTGAGCTAAGAAATTTTGTATCAACCATGCATCTATGTTAGAGACAACTTGGCCGCATGCTTTACTTAGTTAATGAAATTCCTCCGGTTTCTTGAATATTTGGTTGGCTCAGGTGAAGGCTAGAAAAACAAAATTCACAGTAATCATTCAAATATATATATATTTTTTAAATTATGAAACAGTTCGAAGAAGGTAATTTACTCACCCGTCACCCTGGCCACCAGACTCTTTCTTAATATTTGTTGCAGGAGGTGCAACAGAGTCAAGTCCCATTTCAGAAAGAGCACGTAAAGCTGTAAGAGCTGCCTGTATTCAGAACAAGAAATTTATAACAAAAACTGTCCCAGTAAAACTAGTAAATCAACAATTTTCGGTGAAAAGGAAACAAAAATCAAGAAATATCTTGTTCCAATTTATCATGCCTCGGTGAACACAACTCATTGGATTAAGAACAATCACTCTCACCAAGTAAATACAAGTGAATCTCACCCTAACTTCATTTTTAGATTTTAACCTATGACATATTTTGGCTTTGATAACGGATTTAGTGGAATATACCCGAATTTCTGAACCATACTTTAGCATTTATTTTGACGTAATATTAGGAGGATTAGGAGGATAAATATAGGATTCTCATTATTTTTGTTTTTCACATGTCCAAAAGATATCTTTATTATTCCACTGATTCTATTATTTTTTGTATTCTTTCTTCTATATCCTTTTGGTTCAATCCCATTGAATTTCCGAGATATTTATAAGTGGTATCTCGTACAATTATTGAATTTTCTATTATCATTTTAGCTCAAGGTGTTCTTTGCCATAGAAGGCTAGTGCTTTAGTTTTCTGGCTTGATATTTTTATTTCATATTCTTTGCTTATTTTTCTTAATTCAAAGGCTGCTTTCTAAAGTGCTACTTCTGAGTCTTATTATAAGTTGGTCATCTGCAAATAATATCATCACTAATTTCTGGATGTTTGATGTCTTTATTCTTGTTCGAGTTTTCTGTTTCTACTTTTTTGGCATGCGATTTAAGTAAAAGTTAAAGAGTAGTGGTGAAAGTTGATCTTCATCTGCTGTGTTGTGCCTAGGTCATTTTTAATAACTATTTTGGAATCTTGGTGCAAACTCTGCATTTTTGATTAAATGTTATGGTACTGTTTCTTCATTCAGAATTTCGCATAACTTTTGCCTATTTACATTGTCATCGACCTTTTTGTAGTCGATAAACAGCATACAGGTCAGAAAGTTATGTTCTTTCCTTTTTTTATAATCTATCACATATCCTATTTTCATAATATATGAGAAAATTGCACATATTGTACTTCTCCCTTTGCGAAAAACCACATAGTTATTCCATGAGTTTTTCTTCCTCAATTTTGATTAGACTTCTTATTAACTTTGCAGATACTTTTGATGTAACTAGTACAGAGCTTATGCTCCTCTGAGTGTTATAACTATTACCACATTAGCCTGTGTGTTAAGATGCACCCCTATTAAACAGGATTTAATTCTTTTTTGTTAAATTTTAAACTTCTGTTTTATTTTTATGAAAGGGTTTGAAAATTAATTGTAACCAGTGAAAAGCAATGGTCTTTTATTAATATTCCACCAGGAGTCTTTATGATAATATTCTAATAAGCATGGAATGACAATGCCTTTTCATAGATCTTCTATGCCATTACTTTGACTTAACAAAATTTTAAGCATTCTTTCTTTTTACAATACTTTTAGCTTCTGTAATACTCAATTTTGTAGAAATAAAAATTTGTATCTTTCAGTGTACAAAAATTTTATTTTTGTAATGCTATATACTAAACATTCAAACACTTACAAAAATTCCCATCAAATGTATAAGACACTCCTGTATTATTTGACTTGGCAGTAATCATTACATCGCATGTAATCATAAATAATTTTTTAAACATGCCTATTTAGTTATTTTTTCTCGCAAACTACCTTGTTTGTTTCAAACTAATGGGTAGGCAAGTTCATCTATTTCACAAACTAGGATGATTGAGAGGCCTCCCCAACCATGGTAAAGGAGAATTTCTGTGGCTCCAATCCAGCGTGTCGACGACCTATTAGTTTGTTCATGAATGACATCTATAATTGAGCTCATAATTTTACTGATTACATGCTGAGGTAATTTGTAATTGTAAATAATAAAATGTGATTAATGTTCAAATAAATGAGATTACATGATCACAGAGCTCAAATGTTGTTTCTATTAAATATTTTTATTGATTTATTGTATTTGAGTTGTAAGTAAAGTTATACTTTCATTATTTCTTATATTGTATAAAACAGACATGTGATGGAGCAAAACGAATTTCAAATTTATATTCAACATGTTCACATTAAAGTTATTCACCTATTAAAATGAAAACCTCAGCCAAAAAGTTAAAATTTGCAGACCAGTGTAATAATAAAAATAATAAACCCTCACTATGAAGATAGAGAAAAAAAAATCACTATCCACAACAACAAATACCTGATCATGTGAGGCATCTGTAGTGCTTCCTGCACCATGACATACTTGAGGAGGATCTGTAGATAGCGAAACCAAGCTAAGAAATGTGCTATGATTGCCCTAAAGAAAAAACAAAAAATCATAAATTACAAAAAAGATGCCACAGAAAAAACCCAAGTAACATTTTAGTTTAATAAGACTCACCCGTGGAAAGTCTGAAAACTGAACCTGAAAACCAAGAAGTTGAGCCAAGTACATTAACTGATCCTTGGGTCGCACAACTTGACTATGGGGAGATATTTGATTTGGTTTCAAACTTCCAACAGGAGATGATGATTTATGATTTAAGCTTGATTTTGCTAAAGCTTCAGCAGTTGGTGAACTGCCTCCTTTAAGAAGCTCCTTTGCAATGGTAGCAGTTGTTTGCAAGCTCACTCCTGAATTTTTGGTAGGCGTAGTCTGCCCGTAACCATTGGTTGTTGCACCGTCAGACATAAGTAATAAACCAGGAACTAATTGACGGCCACTGCTACCTCCTGTTGGCATTTGATCGACAGGAGGCTTCTCATCTTCAGAAAATGTGACCTGGAAAAAGAATACCAATGATAAATATATGTAACTATAAAAATAATTTACAAAGTTATTATGTGCATAATGTAACTACTGGAATAATAATATTAGCTTTTCTATCAATGAATTTGTCAAACACTTCGTGTAAGTATGAACTTCACATTGACATTGAAGCATAGGGATCAACCATGCCTGTAAAATGTCTTTCTAATGTCTGAGGAATTTAAGAGCTATAAAAGAAGACTTGACTCAATTGCAATTGTACATAGTCTACAATAAATGTAACTAAAAAACATGTATGCACCCACATACACGTATGTGTGCCCATGGACATATTACCCATTTCATAAATGCATTAACATTCAAAAGATACCAGTGTACTGCTCAGTGTTCAAAAGAATACTTTAATGTGATGTAGATGTCAAAGTGACAGCATTTATCACTCTATTGATTCTAATAAAATTTGAGAATGGGTATAGACCATCTTGAGAAAAAAACAACAAAAAAACGAAAAAGTCAGAGCAAAGTGAAGCATCAATTTAGTAAAATTTGCATAACTGTTGCATTTACTAACAAATGCCTTTGCAAGGTTACACTGTTCAGAAGAGAAGTGGACAGAGAACCCCCATATATCTGAAATGCTTAACACATGGAACTTAGGTATGCCAGTTGCATCTTATATATCCATTTACATAATATGCCTGACTTCTGTTCTCTGATACTTAGAACAATTTACATTACAAAATTTCCATTTGTAAGAGATATGTGAATACCTTTGCTCGAATAACACGAACTTGAACTTGCATAACATAAGTGCTATTATTTCAGCTCACAAATGTGACCATCAGATGTATGGTAAATAAATTCAAAACTGAATCATTCGTCACAAATTACTGTTGATAAAAAAAGTTGTTGTTCTTGTTATTTTTGAAATTTTAGTGTTCTTAAGACAATCTGTTAATGTATTTTTCAGTGTGGTGAAGGAGATACTACCTATCAACAAAACACTCCTTTACTAAACTACATAGTTATTGTTTGTAATGTTATATAATGTTATTATTTTTTAAAGAGCACTCTTAGAGTGACTTAATACAATTGAACAGAGGAACAAAAAGCGTCACTTCAGAGCCTATTTCCTTTAAGGGATTTTTAATTCTCAGCAGTCTTAAAAACAATCAAGACAAAGGAATTGTACCTAGAGTACTTCCACGTAAGGAAATTCATTTCTTATTTAGATAGTGTTACGGAAAATACTGAATAACACAACCAATATCACAAAAAACGGCCAAGGGTGTAACATACCTTAAACATGTACGAACTTCAACTCATGATTGTTATTTGCTCTATTTGGGCTATGACATTAATGACTATAAGTACATGCAGACCTTTAACGTGATAATATAATAATTTAAGACCTCAAACACCAATTCACCATCTCCTATTACACTTTTAAACATCCGGCTCGACATTCACCAGGAAACTAAGATGCAATGCTCAATTTCTCCTACAAGATACAGTAATATGTTATCTTAGTCTATGCACCAGTAACAGCCTGGCTGAAATAACAATTATTAACTTTAAGATATAAGGTAGAGGGTCAAATGCAACAATGATCACTGCTTTTGAATATGAAAAGGATCTACCAACATGAACCTCAAGGCAGAAAAGGAAACTGTTCATTTGTCATAGAAAGGAACATTTAAACCCCAAACAAAATTGCACATATGCACCGTTGGAAATACTCTGCATTAATGAAATTGAAGTATCCATCTACGACTAAAATTTTAAAAAAAGTACTTAAATTTTTGGAACAAAAAATTTAACATATAAAATTGTTGAAACTTAAGGAACAGATTTCATCCTGGGAAAAATTGTGATTTTTAATATTTTAGTTGTAGAAAGATTCTGAAAAACGTCTGAACTATTGCAATTTTCAAAAAATCAGGGTTTTCAATGAACATCAAAAACGATAAAGCCATATTTCTTGGAAATTTTTAAAATGTCACAGTGGTTTTATGAACCCTCCTCAAAATTGAAACATCGGTTTTAAATTCAAGGACCTGTGACATCCACCAGATAGAATGAGGAATAATGATTTTGGAGAAAATCAGTTGAACAGTTAAGCCGCTAGTGTTGTTCACAGATTGACAGGCAGACAGATGAACAGATTGACATCAATTGATTTTTCGGTATCAAGGACCCACAAAGAATGGATTCTCACTACATCACAGGATAAGAGGATTTCCTCCCCCCTAAATATAGCAACTGAATTTATCTACTTTTTCGTTACAAGGACCCTACATTAAGGGCTTTCTGCCAAAAATTCACCGTTTCCCCCCGCAGCATTACATAACTTTCTCTCTACTCGGAAGGGAATTTATACCTCCCAAATAAAAAAACTAATTTCCAAAGACAATGAAAATGTGCTTTGAAGAAATGTAACAGATCAAAATGAATATTTACTACAAATTCATTATCCAAGAATTGGAATAGAAATACTACCTTTCTATTTTTATCCATTTCAGGTGTTTCTCCTGTTTTAATTGATGGCTTTGCAGGCTGTACTGATGGTCGAGAATATCCTAGCATTTGTAAAAGTCCCTCAGCAGCAGCACGTTTAGCCAATTTCTTGTTTGGTCCAGTTCCGGTGCAAGAGTGTTGCCCTATTGACACCTACATCATAAACGAGTTATTAGGACAATCATAAACAAATTGAATGAAATTTAATCTCTACAAGTGATAATACGATTTTGTTTTGAAGTTATTTTAAATTTCTTGCATTTTAAAAATGCCTCTCCTTGCGAAGGTCCATGCCGAATTGTGCACATCTTGATGAATGAGCAATTGAGGGCACGTTGAAGCATGCACAATTGTGAGCAGTCGTGTAGATACAACTGTGGACATGCTGATGAATGCACACTTGAGGGCAAGTTGATTCATATACAATTGTGAGCATTGGTACGTGCATAGTTATGGGCACAATGAATTCACAATTGTGGGCATGAAGATGCTTGCACAAGAATGTGCACATTGATTCAAGAATGAACTGTGTGTACAATCGTGTGTTTTTGCAACATGCACTCAATTACATTACTCATGAAATCATGAATTTTTCACTATGAGAGATTAACATTGCATTATGGAACAGTTCAGTATTATTTCCCCCGCCCACGCTCAATCCTCTAGGAATAAATAACAAGTCCAGAGTAATTATTATTTTTAGAGGCAAAAATGTGATATTAAAAGAAAATGGATAAATCAACATCTTTATACCTCCATAACAAATTCCCTTCGCCTGGGTACACCTCTTTCTTCTAATAAGGAATATATTGGTTCACGTTCTTTCTTTGCTTGTTGAATTTGAATGAGGCGAGATATTGGATTTATATCCTCTCCATATTCAGGTTCAGCCTTCTGTTCCTAAATCAAAAATAAAATAATTGAAATTAAGTTATAAAAATTATCACAGCATAAGTAACTAAAGAAATGAAATGTTAAAAAATGAAATGATAGAACTTATTTATTAACATGCATTCATATATTAACTGAAGATCAATTTTAATTGAAGATTCCTCTCCAGAATGTCCAAGTTTTTAAATTCCTTTTGTTATCTGATCTTCAATTACTTATCAATTTTTTTTAAAAAGAAAATACATTTTTATTGCACGATAAAGTCATTCATTTATTTTACCATGATATTTCACAATGTCACAGAATTTCAATCTCTTATTGTCATGTTCTCTATACTACAAAGCATGTTCAGAATGTAAGTGTACTGTGATCACACTGGGCTGAGGTTTTTACATTATTGAGGTTTGGCAACACTGAGAGGTAGGAGGGAGAGAGGTCATCCTGACCAGAGCGAGCATCGCAGGAACACAGTAGTATGTTAAGTCTTGTTGTAGTGTTCAGTTGTGTGAAAGACGTCCGTAAGATACCCCACAAAGTGCAAGCCATATACTCTGATCTACTTCCTACATGCAGAAGAAATAACACCTACTGAAACTCCTTTTCAAATTGAAATGGTTTGTGGTGAAGGTTTATTTACCAGTACGAGCATGTTTAAGTAGGGTAGGGAGTTGAGTGGAAGCGGAACAAATGTTCATAATGATCAGAGGAGTGCAAGACCTTGCATTTTGATGTGTAATTTTTATCTGTACCAAAGAAACTGTTTATAAAAACAACTGTTGGACAGTGGATGATATTTCTGTGATGTTTCTACAAATATCCAAAATTCTCTTATAGGAGATACGAGACACAAATGCACCAATACCAGAGACAGAGCAGCACAAGAAAAATCAGATCAACAACATTCGTGAGTTTCTTCTGTGACTTGAATTGGAAGGCCAGAATTTTCTGAGCAATTTTGTGACTAGAGATGGAGCGCTCATTACATGTCTGTGGCAAAATGACAGTTATCGCACCAATTCTCTGCGGCAAAAAATTCAAAACCACACTTTCAAACAAAAAACCATGGCTGTAGAATTTTGGGACCAAAATGGCATCAATTTGGTAGACTTTCTGCCTTATTTGGAAATCATCAACACACGACATTGTGAGATTAAAAAACTCGAGACTATTCGAAACAAAACCAGAGGAATGCCGACAGGCATGGTGACAGTGCAGCTTCAGCTATCAAGGTGCTCTTGGAATCCTTTTGTTGGGATGTTTTGAACTACCTCCCCTGACTTGGCGCCTTCAGATTGCAATCTTTTCACTTCTCCAAAGGCACATACTAGTGGAATTAAATTTTCTATCCAACAAACTGGTACAGAAAGAAGTTTTGAGGGGGCTGAGAAAGTTGGCAGGTAATTTCTTCAAGGACATAGAGAAGCTTGTTCCATGCTTTATTACATTTAACGACCTGGCAATTACGGCATATGTGGGAAAAATGTATTAACAGTATCTTGTTTTTTTATTATACTTTTTCTATTTTAAAAAAATAATCAAAAAGCACACTTACTTTCTAAACGAACCTTGTAGTTCAAAACTGACATTTGCGGCAATATCAGCCTAAAGGTATTATTAAACTAATTTCTTAAAGGTAAAATTAAATATTAGCACAATAATATGGGAGGTAGGTACATGGGTTGGCCTAACCTGATATACCTTGATGAGATTACGAGTTTTTTTCTTGCCGGGATTAGCTTTTCGTTTTAAACGAGCCAAACTAGATGTCAATGTTGGTGATGTTGGTGGGAGTTTCTTCAGTTCCTCCAACATTTTCTCAGCTGCTCTTTTCTTGGAAACCTGCACAAGAATAGATATAAAATGAAGATCTGCACAATATATGGAGTTCTTAAGAAATGTTTCAACAGATACTTATAAATTTGTATAGAACAATAAATCTCTTTAGAATATTTTATTAATTAAAATTTTGTTAAAAGAATTATCCTAAAGCAAGAACGTCCAACTCATAATTTTAGCGGCATGCCCCCCTTTCCAACAACAACCAAAAGCAGTGTGCAAGTCTCATGAAAAATAGGCTCTATGTTGTTAAGTTTGCAGACATTATTTTTATTTTTGAAATTGTACCGACAAAATTTATTTGAATTACTACTTTATTAACTATTTCATATTCAATTTATATATTTAATGCCTATTTTGTCTTTGCTGAAAAACAAAGTGACCTAAAACATCTCATAAAATACAAGTGATATGATATAAATGATACATGTATCAATCAGCCTCATTCCCTTATGTGAAACCTGCAATGCAATAACTTTAACCCCTCACAGTTATTGGAGGTGCTAAAGTTATGTGACTCACCCCCCTCACCCCTCTGTGTGAGCATATATATAAAAATTAACCAGCCAATTTTGTCTTTTCCCCTCAGTTTTTGACTTCTAAAAACTGAGGGTTGTCATATTCATAACAGATGAAAAATGCACAATGAACGATATTTTGTTACTGGTGTAGTACAAGTTTACTTCAGAAAGTCATTTGCAATAGAAACTCCTTCTGTCTTATTGGATGTTTATGAAATAGATATTTATGGAAAAAGTACTATGTTTGACTGTATAGTAAGGCCTGTGACACTCGAGCTTGATGTTGAAGCCCAATAAGTAATGTGTGTAACAAATTAACACTTACTTATGCGAAATAATCAGTGCTAAATTTGCTGTTTCGCGTAAGATAAGTGTTATTCTGCAAATGCATACAACTTAGCGCATCAATGCTTGGGTGAGGGCCTTTAAAAGTTATGACTATGTAAATCAAAACTATATTATCAAGTTGAAAACTAATTTCGTTATACAAACAAAGGTCATATTTTCAGGTTTATCCCCCCCCCCCCGAATTTGAAGTTAAAAATCTGGAGTCCTCTTATATTTGGATATATAAGTACGGTGTACATGTTTGAGTATTTTAATATTTTATACCGCTTCCGATATATACACATTTGGATTTGACGACAAGTCATTGTCAATATTCCAGCACCAATTTCACGCTAAATGTGTAACCTGAATTGCCATTAAATTATAAATTAATTACATGACATTGCATAGATGTTTTTATAAGAAGAGAAAGTGACAATTTACAACATCAAAACACATCTACATAATAGTGCTACAGCAGCACAGAACTTTTCACACTATTTGTGAAGAATTATACATAACTGGTTGAACCTGCAAAAGTATTCACTTAGCCTTCACAAAAATTCACCAATGAAAATTGGGCATACACATTTTTTAAAGGCAAAAGGACAAACAAATGTGAAAATGCTTCATTGGCAAAAAGGACCCCGAAAACATGGATTCTGACTACATTTAATATTTAAAAAAGTTCTATAATACATATTGAAGCAAGGACAATCCACTTTTGCAGTATCGGAGACCCATAAAATGTGTTTTTTCAATTGAAAAATCTGTTCTGTTTCCTGCAGCATTACATAACTTCTTTCTACAAGATTGATTCAAGAATGTAGAAAAAACTAATGAAGAATGGAATAATAACCATGGACAAGAAAAAGAAATGTAATAGTCAATTCCTACCTTTTTACCATTGCCTTCACCTGTAGTAATTTTATCTCCAACAGAGCATTTTGTGACAAAGGTTCGCATGTGTGGAGGACCCTTTTCACTTTCAACTTCAAAGTTCACAGGAAGATTTCTTTTTAGAGCAATCTCGTGAACCAAAGAAATTGGACTCTTCAAATCTGCATTAGGATCATTTTCCAAACAAGAACCTAAAAATAATTACTAATGTTAAGAATTCAGATTATCTATGCTTCTTAACAAGAAATTAACAACCAAAAAGCAATACTTCATGTAATAACCTTATTATGTTTTTAGATGAATTACAAATTAACCAGAGCCCTTCTAAGAACAATGCAATATTTAAATGTTGCATTATTGATATTATTTTAAAAGCCATCTTTTTAAAACTAGGTTAATTTAAAATATGCAAATTATAGTTTGGTTGAAGCAATAAGCATGTGCAATCTTTACCAGTACATTAATGTTGTTCATAACAAACCTACTTTCCAAATATTTTTCGAAGTACAACAAAATACTAATAAATTTACGGAGCCTCAAGAATTCACAACACAAAAAGTTTCAAAATAACATAATCAAAACCAGAAAGTTATAGTAAATAAATAAATTTGCTTCAGTTTTATCTTTTGGTTTATTAATAACACAAAAGAATGAGATGAAAGTATGGATATCTCCTAACAAAACAATTTGTACTTTGATTTCAAATAACAATTATCAAATGTTATTTCAAAGAACAAGTAACCACTCCATGCAGACTTGCGGTCTGTGACACATCACAAAAATTTCCTAAATACATGATCTGACAACAAAAATAATCAACCAATTTTCTGGCAAGTATTAATTTATTTTTGTTGATTTTTCTGGGACACCAGTGTACCATTCTTGTTATAGAACCATTGCTGAAGGATATCATTGCTTTTATCAACATGCGCAGCCTTAATTTTTTTTATGGTTCAAAAAATGAAGAGATAGGGCGAGATTTAAAACATTCTGATTTATTATTTGTAAAATAAACATATATTCCATATGAACAAAAAGTATTTGATTGAATGTTAAGTTTATCTATTTTGTGATTTTTAACCATATTATATTATTACTATTATTATTAATAATAATAATAAAACAATGACACAAACATAAAACAATGAAAATGTATATGTGCAGGAAAAAATAATTGAATTATTTTTCAGACCAATCACATGACAAGAACATCACAATTCTTTTTACATACCAGCATCACATCTAAGACTCTCTTCTGGCAAAGGCAAGTTTCGAAGTTGACTTAAAGCTCTGGAAGCAGCATCGTGCCTTGCAGCTTGGGCTGTGGGGCCTTCACCCAAAAACTCCCTTGTTCCAACTCGTAATGATACGTAGAATGTAGGATGGAAACCAGGGCCCTTGCCATAATGATGGTAGCGCTACAACCAATAATTCAAACTATTTTTGTATGACCACAAAAAACTCCTTTTACAATTACCATCTCATGCTGTCATCACCTGTGGATCAAAATAAGGAGGACCTCTTGAACTCAAATTCCGCCTATTCTGTTCACATAAATACCCACGAACCTAATGAAAAAACAAAAGACAATTTTTAATTTATTGCTTAATTTTTATAAAAATATTCTAAAACATGTTCTCATGATTAATATCAGGCAGCTTTTTAAATCCATCCATATATTGATATGAATTATAACTAATATAAATATAAGCTAAAATTGCAGATTATGATCATTAATAATATATAATAAAACACAACAGCACACTGAGGAAAGGAGATGGAATGTCTTGGCCTCACTGTCACATTAAAATAATCTCATGAATGGCTCATGGTGGTGAAATAACCACTCACAGACATGCTTTCCAAATATATATTTATATTTTGCAAGTATTGACAAATTCCAAGTATCCTCTATTTCGCCTACTGCTGCTACTCTACCCTGATACTTTACTACGCTGTTAATTGTACCACCCAGTGCAATGCATTTCAGTTTTTGCCTTTTCCAAAATAGAAGAAAACCCTCTAATAATACATACAAAATTTGCATTTCAAATATTCATTGCACAATTATCAGAAAACAGTATACCATAGAGCTTTTACCTTACTACAAATACTATTACAACTGACTCATACACCATATTAATCTGTTGTTGTCTCAGAAGAGGTGCAGTTGCCACGTATTATCTATTACTCTTGCCACGCATTTCTATGTGTATGCACTACAGATAATTTCTTTAAAACACCATTAAAAATCCTCCATCATTTCCTGTAAATTGAAATTTCCAGTATAAAAGAAACAGTTCATCACTTCTATTAGTCACTTCCCTATCTAATTGTACATCTAATGCAAAATATAAAAACATATTTTAATATATTTTAGAAAAAAATATTTTTCATTTAGCTCTGTTTCAAAATATATATATTTTCATAAATAATTCAAGATTGCAAAACCCTCTCATTAAAGTATGTATCAAAGAGTTCAATAACTTGAGGGCAAAAATTGATGAAATCGCCTAGATAGACTTTGAGAAAATGTTTCTCAAAGTACCTCCACTATCACATTCTTAAAATGCCCTTTACCCTTCATTCCAATTGACTAACATTTAAACCGCATGTGATGGTGCCATTACATAATGATTGAAATTTGACCATGTTGCTGTGTCTGACTTCTTTATTCACTTTAGGCTGCATTGAACATGTTTTTTGGTGATATCAGTTGAGTTTAGGAGTTAATAGATTTTAGAGAACACTACATGGTTTTTGGGAGCCATTGAGCTAATATTTCTTTTAGTGTTCATGGTGCCTTCCTCACAGTATCAGCTGGCTACTGGAGCCCATGCATCGTTGGGCCGTGCTGTAAAAACCAATCTGAAGACGCCACACGTAACCCATTTTGAATAGTTATCCCTTCAATTTTCCCACTTTCTTCTGCAGACGTCGGTACATGGTAGCAGAGCTCAAATGGGAGTTGCTAAACACTGAAGCTATGAACTTTACTGGCTCCAATCTTGGTTATTTACAGTAAAATAGTTTAAACAGTTCAAAGCAGGATTTTTGAAGTGTAAAATTCACGCTTAATTATAATTACTTAGTGAAGATGGGAATTTATTTTTAATTTTCTATACTCTGTTTGGAATGACGTAGTGTGAAGAATCACGTCCTGCGACTACCTACTAACGACATTTTTCCTCTAATACACTGCTGTCGGAGAATCTGATAAAATTGATGACAATTCACCTCAACTTTCTCAGTTGGTGTGATTTTCAAGTTTGCAATAAACGTGACTCTTGTTGCTTCCACACCAAATCCTTACGGTTGGCGTCCGCAGCCATTTAATTCCCAAAAGCATCAGGTTCCCATAAGCAACAATGAAATTCTACCAAGGCTGTTTGTCATCCTAGAGTACCAGTTGTAGAAGTGATGGAAGTTACACCACACAATTTAGTGAACGCTCACAGTATAATGTGGAATTGTGCAAGTGTGACAAAATCTCCATAGCATATTTGCAAAACCGTTCAAGTACACAAGAAAATACGGAATAAATGCTCGTCCTACATGTTCTCTGTTTTGTTGGTGATTTATTTCCTGCAATATTTTCAGCAATATATTTATGCTCTATTTTGTTTTACTAACAAAATTATATAAAAATACTGAACTTAAGATGTATGATGATTGGTTGGAAACCCTCTAAAAGACTGAAACCTGCCGAAACTGATCTTTTTTGAAGGAACCATCAGATTCTGTGTAAGGTGTTTTATTGTATTAATAGGGCAACATTAAAGGCTGTATTAAGCCACCTCATCCTAACATTTCTGAAAAAAAAAGATCTTATTTATAACCAAAAGGTATTACAAGTGACTCCTAAATAAAAAAACCAACTGAAGGTCAATTAGAATTTTCCTCCCAGAAAAGAGAATTCAGAACACAAGAGAACTTGATTGGTCACAGCTCAATAATATAGTTAATATTTGAATGAATATCAAGAAAGCAAAACAATCAATATTTTCCTCGCACAATGACCTTTTCAAATGCAGAGGGATATATTAACATAACAAATTGATGAAACACTAAAAAGGAATAAGTTTATTCTCAACTATCCATTAGTAGTGTGATTGTGAATTTAAACAATATTTTGTGTTTATTCCTTTGCGTTCCTCTTTCACTCTGCTCACTATGTTCAGTTGTTTTGAAACTTGTTTCCCAGAAGTGACGTTAAGCCAATGTTAATCTTAATCGTGTGAAGTGTTGATACTCTTCAACAGCAAGGCGAATTTGAATTGCATTTTCTCACATTTTTAGTGATGAAGAGATTTTGGCGCATTTGGACAACATCCAGATAAAAAAAGGACAAGGTAAGAAGTAAATGTTGATGAACTTAATGAACGAAATTATGGAAGAGGACGTAGATAATCATGACAATGAACCAATGTTACCAACATCTCTCTAATAGTAAAAATGGCATTCTTTTGATGTAGGAAAGGGTGTTAGAAAGAGAAGCTGATTTTCAATGTAAGAATTCAATGACCCTAACACACCAATAATTTTGTAATTTTCTAGATCCAAGAAAATGTGCAAAGAATATTATGATGTACAAATTGAAAATCATCAACATGAATATAATCGACGAGGAAAATTTAATACAATGAAACCCTAAAAATACAATTTAGTATTGGCATTGTTATGCTTAATATTAGGAAAAATTAGTGTTGTAAAAGATATGTTACCTGATTATACATTCCTCTGTAATTAAATGTAGGATTTGGAGGCAAATATGGATTATGTGGAGCTCCATTATGTGGGGGCTCTACAAACGTGTATACTGCGGGCTCCCCTCGTTTCATTGCCAGTGCGTTAAGTTCCACTGTTGGAGTAATATTACCTGCAAGAAATAAACATTCTCTATAAGTAAATAATGTTCTCCAATTTCATAAGAGAATGTTTGTGGAAAGGAGATACACATGTGGAACGTACTCTTGCCAAGACGAACATTGCGTGTAGTTTTTGGGGGTGGGTGCTTGTATTGTGTGTTTTCAAGGGCTTCACTAGCTGCTGAATGTTGGGCTTTCTTTATACTGGCACCCTCAGCAGTATATTCTTCTTCTCCCAATTTCAGCATAACTGTGAAACGCTTCTTGTGAGCTGGTCCCTGCTCATTGGTGAGTCTATATTGGTGCTGTATCTGTGAGACATAATCACTTTCTTATGAACTATATTCTACATGCTATCAATGAAAATTTCAGTATTATGATCAAACACTAAATTAACATTTAAAAAAACCTGAAGGTTTAAAGAGAAAATATTAAATGTTTGTATGGGTATCTCTAATATATTGAAAAAGCTTACATCATCACTAATATATGGGAATCTGCAGGAAATTAATAAAAACTAAGCACTAGAAGTGAAATTCAAAATTAAAGTACTGATAAAAAGCCATTGAAAATTCAGTAACTTACTTTATTAAATCTTGCAAGTTCGTTGACAAGACACATTGGGGTTTTCTCTTTTGTGTTTGCCACGTTTGTAGAGGGAACTGTTGTGTTTGTTGTAGTAGTGGTGGTAGTGGTTGTGCTCGTATTCATGTTTGTGATAGTTTGTTGGGGGGGCGATTGCTGCTGCTGCTGTAATTGCTGCCTTTGAGATCCATCTCCCTCAGGTCCTAGAAGCACTGAACACCAAAGGACACACATTTTAAAAATAAGTATGCTATTCAAGACAAAATGAAGATGTAACTTTGTTCATCTTAGGCAAGTTCTACAAAGCGCATTCAGAACCAACATAAGTGACAACACTAGGGAACACAATTTTTACCCCTTAGGAAAGTAGAGTGTGCAACGTACTCAATTTCATACATTGATTAGGAATGTCAAAATAAAAATGTCATGTCACATCACAGTTTTTAAATATATTGTATCTTTATACCGTATTTCACTATTTACGCAAATACTTTTAAATTGTACCTGCAAGATATGTAGAATCAATATGCATAAGATATGTTTACAAATAAATTATTTGTAAGTATTTATTATGTATTCAGCAATGCCTCATTTAAGAGAGATTAACAAAATTAGGCTTTCATGTTGTTTTTTTTTACTTTCTGTATTCAAAGTTTGCGGTCTCTATTCTTATGCCTGGTAGTTGCACTTGAGTAGGTCTTAGTGGACATTTTGTAAGCAAACCATGTGTACTGTCATCAAAAGCGCATAAGACACCGAAAGGAATCATATTAGCCCCTTACCTTATCACAAGAATACAAGTACACAACTACTGGAGTAGCAGATTCAGAGTCAGTTGACGTCATGGGAAACTGTATCCTCAGTGCGTGTGAAGTTGGTTTCTAATTTGCATGTGCCTCAAAAACATTTATTACAGTTCTGTGGATTTTGTAAAGCACAATTCATCACACTAACTGTTCAATTCAATCTGTTCGGTAAAATTCAAATCACCATTCTCATCGAAAGTTTAAGAAGTGAACGGACTCACTAATTTCTGTTATGTTTGTGGAAGATTTACACCCAAACTTTAAAGGAAAAAATTTATAAAATTACAAAACTTCCATATTCTTTACACTTTGACTGTTGGATGATGGGAGATTATTGTTGGTTTCTTGTTGGAGAGTAAACAAGAATTCAAGACAAAGTGACAAGGTGCAAAAGCATTTTTAAGCAATGCAATAAGAATTTCTCCACCCAAGATGTTTCAATATTATCACACAAATATGCATTTTCTATTTTTAACTTCTTCTTACCTCACCTGAAGTATGATCATAATATTTTAGAGTAGTATAACAGGGAGCGACAATGCAGAAATAAGTATTGGATTTTGTTTATTTCAAATACTAAATATGGTTGTATATTTCGAATATGTAATAGAATTTTTCAATTACAATCTTCGAAATGTGATCGTTCCCTTTGAAATCACCTACATTCATCCCGGAGGTACAGAAAAAAAAATTTGTTCCCTAGTGTAATACGGTTCTTAGGCATTTTTGATAAATTGACTACACAGCTACAAAGGCAATATTAAATTGAAGTGAAATATTATGAAATATTCAACTCTTCTCATTATCTACACAAATTGCTTTATATTAACTTGTTAAACACTAAGTATTAAATTTAATAAAATTAATGTAACATTTTCACCTGAGGCAGGTTTTGTAGGCTGTGGGGTGAGGGGGGTGGCAGCCAAGACTGGATTGACTGGTGATGTGGGCATTAAGGTCAGAACTCCTATCAGGAAAAATAAAAAAAATACAAAATCAATGCATATAATAATAGCCCTCTTGCTTACAAAAATATCATTAGTGACATCTAGAAATAATAAAGGTATCCTATTCTTACCAATGAAGCTGACCATAAATTACGTAATACCAAAGAGGAGGACTGAGTTTGAGGCATTGTTAAGCTGTGTTACATACGGGTAGGGTGGGGGGTGAGTTTGGTGCTTTGTAACAAATATTTCTTTTCCCACCACCCCTTGATATTGCAGCATTTGCTGAAATAATTGCTTTTATTGATAAGTGCACTAAAACATTAAAATATTAATAAATTCATTTTTTTAAATTAAAAATTTATGATGTATAAACTGTTACAATAAATCAAATTATTTTTTCATAAATTGATGGAGTCTGTTAGATTACTAAGAAAACCTTCAGAAGTGATCTTAAGTACATTCTAGAATCCAACTAAATTGGCAGAGAAGCCTCTTGTTCATGCATCATCCAGTCTTGTCAAAATATAATTGTCTGTGCTCTTCCCTTCCTTCACTAAAAAAAATGTTGCCCTTCCTTCACTAAAAAATGTCCCCAATTTTATCACTAGGTGCAGTCAGCATTGCAAACTAATTCTGATTATAAAATTAATACAAATTGTTTTAATGGTATACAATGTATTTTTACTTCTTGTAAATGGGAGAGGGGGGTGCAAGCATAATGCGATATAAGAGGGGATGGGGTTCAAACTCGCATTGCAGGTGTGTTACAGGGAAAGATGGAGTTTTCAAAATACTCCAAACAAGCATTACGTAATTTATGGATAGTCACTATGCGAAAAACATTTTCAATTAATTTAAAACAATTTGACATTGTTATATTAGTACAATAGTAACTGTTGGAAAAAAATCAACTTCTACAGAGAAAATCCACTTAAATGGCATATCTACAAGCCAATTATGTTCTGATTAAAATGATTATGAACGATTCAATGACAATTCCATAGTAACCACCAATGTGCTCAGAAGTTCATGAAGCCTACCTTACAAATTGTGGTAGTTTTGTATCAATCGTATTTTAAATTTTCCAAAGTCTTGATAAAATAAAAAAGTACAAATTGCCTGTAAATGCATCTGTAAAAATGAGAAGTAACTGCTTGAAATAATAGGGAAATAGTTGAAGTTGAAATTCTGATCAAATACAAATGTGCTCAACATCATGGTAATGTATTCATTATATTATCGTGATAATTAAGTACTTGTCTCAATGAATCTTAATATTGATCAACTGGTCACAACTGAAAGATGGCATAACAGTATTACATTTCTGAACTATATAAGCACTGTAACACTAGTCAAGAATTCAGATGGGAAAATCTTCAACACTTAATATTCTTTGTTCTTGGAGTCTATTGTAATGACTGCTGTAATTAGGACAATGAATAAGGCATAAAACCCAAATATTCCTTATGCCCTTCAGACCTATGCATTTATGCACATCAGTAGAAACAGCAAATGTAAAATCTGTACCTGAGAGGAAAAGGGTTCCATGGCACTTTTACCTCATGTTCCGGACAGCAGTTTACAGATGTTGCATTTCTATGCAAGTAAATGGACAATGTGTTGCTTCGACTGTTTTTAACCTCTAACTAATTCACGTCGGGCATACTTCTAAATACCTTGAGAAGAGCAATGGAATTGGAACAAGAATTTTCAAAATATCCCATTACAGCAAAAACTTGGACATGGTTCTCTTTACCTCTCGGTTACAGAAACCTTCTGTCGGAAACCAACATTTGTCAACTTGTAAAAATATATTTTGAAGGACTCGTTTAAACATTACAATACATGCAACTAATGCACTACTGAATTCAAAACACTACTATTCTTGTTTCTACTGAATTCAAATTTATTATATATACATGGCATGTAACTCATACTGTACCATTCAACTGCACCTTACTACAAATTTAATGACCTTTGCATTACTTTTAGACACAATACTGTTAAACAATAACATACAGTAAAAAGTACTGAAAAAAATGAACCATAATCATATACCTTCAATACATCCATTAGGACCAAATAACATTTCAATATCGTCCGCTGTGAAGTAATTTGAGAATTGGCGGCATTGTGCCATGCCAATGCTCATGACTATAAGAAGAAACACTGGAACATTTAGGATTTGGCCTGGGCCTAGATAATTGGAAACAAACAAATGTCCATCGTTAACTTAAAAAAAAGTTATAGGCAACGCAGCATAATACATTTTTCTTTTGCGATCAATTACTGCTTTTTATCAACGCCCAACACTCCGTGATCTGGGGTTTTACGAATACACACACAATATTTTATTTTTAAAGACCCGAAGGTCATTCATTAACATCGTCCGTCATTACTATCCCCTGACTTTTAGACCGTCTTGTAACCTACAAAAAGTTACCTGCGTGGCGCCCCATTTCCACTATCGTTTTGCGAACAGAAAATCACAGTTGAAATACTAAAACATAAATCTTCGTAGCCAATTGTAAATATTCCTGAACGAACATATGATCTGCATGCAATCTACTCAGCTGAAACAAACCAAGTGAGCACTGGCTACCGGCCGCCTGCGGGGAGGTGTACTAATAAAAATATGTACGCCGTCACCAAACAGGGTATTCCCCGCTCAGGTCTGACACCAATCATACAAGAAAATCCCTTCTTGTATCGACATAACACTTTCCTACCCGTTAAATTTATTTTCTTTTCAATAATAAGCAAAAATTGTGACGTGATGATATTACAGTGTCGACCAGAAGTTAATTTCATTCAGGCCAGCGACCCCACTCCTTCAAAGAAACTTCACAGTAACGGCCGAGTGAAACGTTCAGGAAAAATAAAAGACGAATATTATTTTTGGCTGGAAAAGTATTACAAGATTTCGGATATTCAGGCATGAATCTATTTTACTATTTTGACAATTTTTTGAGTCTCGAAATTCATTATGAACAATATCAACAATTCATGACGATGTCAAGTAACCCATTGATCTCTATATTAATATTAAATTCAATTAATATACAAAGGTCAGTGAAGGAACTACATTTGTAGAACTTAAAAATACGTATTTGACCAGTAAATGCTTGTTCTTTGTAATTGAAATATACATAAAAAAAATTCAAAACTGGAAAGAAATTCTGACAGCAGATTAAATTTACAATGAATAATAACCTTGGATTACCATTTTGCATCAGACGACGAAGTCTCAATTCACTTTTACTCTATTATTACAACATTAAATTATTCGCCAGTCAAGTTGATAAAGTTCGTTTTCTGCTATGAAAATGAGTGAAATAGTCATTGATTTTCATGTCAGATTATACTGCCAAATCAAGAAATTTTAAAACTTATTTCAGATGCCTGAAAACCCGATGTCTAACTATAACCAAAGGATCACAGTTTGAGCATATACACGTTATTCATTTATAACTTTTATATTATTATCTCCCACTCTCGAACTTCATGGGAAGGGATTTACTACAAAGCCGTTGGCGAGGATCACTCCCTCAGTTAAACTATACAAACGGCGGTATTATTTTAACCCAAACATAACATTGTGACAATGTAGTATCCGTCGAGAAATATATTCTGGAAGGGAAAGGTAATTTGACAAAGTTTACTTGCCACACAAGTGGCGGTCGATGAAGATCTAAATCTCATTTGTATCTATCGATACTCGACGCTATTCATGCATTGTGACCGCCTAGCAGTTGAGTGGCGGTTAAGGTATTATACCAACAGCCTCTGTAGAGGCGATTCGATTATATCCGCACGTTTTCTTGAGCCCCGGAGATACCTACCCCTTCTCCTTTACTAACATTTGAATGATGGGAACGAGCGTTGTCGACAGAATCTCAAACTACTTTGCTTCGAAAAACGAGCTACATATATCCTATATTAATCTTGTCGACACAATTAAACTTCCCACTCCTCTCGCATCCAGTGAAACGAGGGTCTAAGAAAAAGTGCGCGGATAATACTAAGCCGTCACCCATATTTTTATTTCCTTCTAAATCGACGGCAAGTTATCGTTCGTATGAATACCTACGTAACGATCACTCAGCATTTCCCTCTGGCTTTCCTTATTTTAAATTGTCGCTAAGCGAAGTGACTTCATTGCTTCATTACAAATAAAAATAAAATGTAGAAACTAGTCTTCAGTCCAAACTATGAAATTGAAATGTTCAACTTCAATATTTAACTCATTTAAAAATTATGCCAGAGAAGTCATGAGTATGTATCAAAATCAAATTCTTTACAACACAAATTACTATCCATTCCTGAAATGCCATATCCATTGCTATTTTTCGGTTTAAACTTCTTCAAAAAAGTTAAGGAATAAAAAAGAAAATAAATGAGATAGGATAGCCTGACTGTAGTTTGTTGACAAGGCAGAGGGTTCAGGATGATTTTATTTACACTGCTTTATTTTTATTTTCCAACGACTACTTGCTCTATGCAGAAACAAATTCATGAATTTCCACTTACAAGCACTCTGATTGTCAATTAATACAGTTATGAAATAAGTCACTAGTGACTCTCAGAACTACAGATTTGCAAATAAAATTATATTACCTAAATCTAAATAAATCACAAAATGCAAATATTTTGAAAATTATAAATAATCAATTATATTTATTTGCATAGAATAAAATTAAAAAATTGAATTAGGAACAAGAAAAAAAATAAGTAAAACTTTATGAGTTGCATTTAATTATAACATTTTACTTTGAATTGTGCAAGGTGGACTAATTTCTAAATATATTGAAATAGAATTTTTTTCTATGAATACTTTAGGAACAAAGAGTATGTAGTTTACACAAATACAAAACAAAGAATATCAATAATTGCAAAATGTTCAATGAAGCACATACAAATGCATTTAATAGTGTGATGAAAATTAAAACAATCTTTGGAGACCTGCAATCCTGTAAACTTGTTTCTATTGTGGACTCAGAACTTTTCAAAATATTCATTATTTTCTCATTTAAAGATCATCACATATAAAACATGGTTTTACATTAATTAAAACTAATGATGGGTTATGTTAAAATAGTATTAATCACATTAATAGAAACAACATTTCAAAACTATTTAGTTAAAAAGTTTATAAATACAAAGAAATATTTTGTTCCCTAGTTGTTCACTTGCTTTACAGACCCCCCCTCAAAAGAACAAACAACTTAAAATAAGACAGAAGAGCCAACCACTTCAGAAACTGATATTCTTTGACATTTCCCAGTTACATCCTGAGAAAAACAATTTACAATCACTACAATCGTGAAGACTGGTAACTTGAGCATCTATATTCACAAATATTAAGTAATGTACAGAACACCAAAGCATTCTTCCATTATCGAACCACTTTTTGAACAATTGTTAGATATAATAATTGTGGCAATTTCTTTATAAATATAAGAAAATGCAACGCAAAAACCAAACCTTTCTTCCGAACTTCAGGCCTTTCCTGCAATTACATATCAACAATTGGTCACCATGTATAGAAAACCTCTTCTTATAATTCTCTCACAAATAATAGTAATTTTAAGGAATATACAGATTTAATACATTTATTTTACTATGAATCTTATCTATGAAGAACCCTTAACCTCACTCTTTTTATTGTCCACCTCAAATTACAGGTTGTTCATCAGAAAATATTGAAAATAAAAATTCCTAAATTTATCACCTTCAAAAATATTTTTGAAAAACAATTAAGATTCAATTTATGCTTGAACCATTATTACGCTTTACCAAGACTGCAATTCTATAGTAATATTTTCTATACTATCTCCTGGATCACTATAAAATACAGATGTATATTACATTCAAATGATATGCAAAGAATTGACTGGTTTCAAGCCTTGCAGTTTTCTGACAATTGGAATTATGTGTGTCATTATTCACACAGCTGAAAATATACTATAATTTTTCTAATTATAGAGTTGTGGACCTGTTCTTATTTTGGCATAACTTTATATTTACAAGCAAAATCTTTGAGAAATGGAAGTGGAATCGCAAATTGTGGTTTTGCCATAATTGCCGCGTCTGTGGGATCATTAGACACCATGGAAGTCAATAACTCATACCTCATTTAACAATTTAATCAACAAACCATAAATTAATGATTTCATTGAGGATAGTAAGTCACATAAAGTGACTAAACTTGAACCTAAGTATTTCAACCATTTGTGACTAGATCATATAGAATTAAATTTTTAAATGAGCTAATATCATATGAATGACTATGACAAAATACCATTCTAGTTCACATACTTACAAATTAGACTTGTTTCCAAAAACCAAACAAAAAACAATTGTTAGTTTTATCACATATACAAATACCAAACTTGCACAACAGTAAGACAACTACCTGTCTCATGCAAACATTCATATAACTATCACATAAATTAAATGCATTCACACCATTTTTTACTGAAACAGCACTATCTTTACAACAACATGCACTATACTTTCCACATGCAACATTTTGACACCTTAACGTTCACCACAAAACAATCAAGAACTTACCAGGCCCACTTCCTTGCGGTTGCATCCCCATCAGTATTGGTTGTCGCTGCTGCTGTTGCTGAGACATTCGCATAGGAACCTGACCCAACCTGACACAAACAACAACAAGAAAAAAAAATATTTTAGACACTAAAAAACAACAACAAAAATTAGTATCCCTTTCTTCTGACAGTCCTGGTAAGTTAAGTATAATGAGTTGTAATGCAAATCATTATTTAAAAAGACAATTATTGAACAATATACTTTCATCTATGAAACCATTTTTTAAGCCAGTGCACCATGCCCAGGTAAAATTGAACGCAAGTTCCCGTTACCATACATTTGACATTGTTATTTAAAGCCATAATAAGACAGTTGTTAGTCTTACAGTACGACAAAAAATGTACATCATATTACAAACCTATTAGCATCTCTGAGCTGATTGGATGGGATCGGCACAGACTGATGATGCAACATCTTTTTTCAAGTAACAGCGGCAGAAGATCGCTGAAAACAGTTCGAACGGTTACATATGACATACAGACGAGCATACAACACGAAGGCCGGCCGCCGACATATTTCATTTGTATTTCCAATCACATACCTAAACTCTTTCTAATTCACTTCAACCTCAATTTTGTCACCTACTTTAAGGTTGAGATGAAAAAGAGATGCAAAGATGGTACGAGACGATTTAAAAAACGTTGGCAAACAGTAAAGAAAAATTTCGACTAGCATGCGGCCATATTGGTCTTCTCCCAGTGAGGGACAGTCGTGGTTCCTCCCATGTCCTACAGATGTCGTACCGCTCAGATCAATGTTGCCATGGCAACTAAGATTCGCCACAGTTATACATTGTTGGGAGCGTTGCAAGCAGTATTTTAAAATTTGAAGAGGATAATTATTGTTTTCCCTCAACTCAACCCATAAACATTTTATCTCTTAACACCCCTCTTGCACGGCCACGACAATTAGGATTTTCGATTTCAGTTTTCACAATGTATCACAGATTAGCGTTAGGTCTCGCATTACTTACACAAGCCTACTTTATAATGTTTAGGGTATATTAAGATGACCAGACCGCATTAGCCGGGCCCACGGTATATTTCTTACACCGCGGCCGAGCCAGACCCGTATTTTGAGTCCCTGTCCCGTAACGTATTACAGGAAAACGGGAAGTTAATATGTCCCTTTTTGTGACAATGACTTATCGGCATAAAATGCAGTCAAGAATATTAAATTTATCATCATGTACTCTGTTTGGCATTAGTTTATAAAAAATTAAGTACGATAAGATCTTGCACTGATGTGCCACATAACAAGAGTGTTCTGAGTCACTTGTGTTTCCTAGGAAGGGAAAATTGAGCTACCCAATACCACCTATATGGAGGGTATTGGGTTGACTCGTTATTTGAACATAAAACATAAGAGATATGATTTATTGATAACGATACCGTTATCGAGATTTTCAACTGATCCATGATGACCCGAACCTTCCGCTTCTGAGAGTTTCAGTGCAATTTACCACGCAAATTTAATTGAGAAATATTGACCTAATTCGTAATTAATGAAAGGGAAAATGATACAAATGCGTTTATATGAAAAGTTCTTGAATAAGTTCTCGCTGTTTTCTAACGGTGGCGTTATCAGGACCACCTGCAGGCAATTTCCGATGCGAACGCATTTACAAGGAAGGACTCTCGGTAAGCTGAACGTGTGCCTTTGTTCGCCCCGGTGTAAACGTTTGGTTTCTGAGTGTTAAACAAGTCGAGTTATGTGTCAAGAAAGAAGTACTTGCTGGGAATTTTATTGCACTATTTTATTCAGAAGAAATCTGCAGCCAAAGCACACAGAATTCTTATTGATACTCATGGTGAACATGCTCTGACGAAAACGACTTCAAGAGACTGGTTTCGACGCTTCAAAAATAATGATTGTGATCTTGGAACGCACTGGCGCACCGAAAACGTTTTAAGACCAACAATTGGAGGCATTACTTTATGAAGACGCTTGTCAGACGCTAGTTGACATGGCATAATCGATTGAAGGCGTTAGGAATGATTCACAAACAAGAGCAGGGTGTAGTGATGCGACATCGACAACAAAACATCGATGTTCAAAATTAAAACATCGATGTTCAAAATTAAAACATCGATGTTAAAAATACGTCGTCTAAAAGCTATCGATGTTTTTCAACATCGATGTTTTTAGACTGAATTAATAACATCTAACATTAAATTCGTGTGCATTAAAATTTATTTTGAGAGTGTTCGTTTTTATCAATTCGCCGAATAAGGGTACGAGAAGATGGGGCAAACCTTACACCCATAGCATACTTGTTGACCTTATCTCAATGTCCGTAATGAATATGAAGAAAGAGGAATTACAAAGGCATGGACGTCATATGGGGCGAGAGAGTTTCGTCAGTGAAGGCAGTGCAAATTTGGTTCCAACACACGAATATCAGTGCGTTACTGTTAGTTATTATTTCATATTTTAACTTTTATAGTATTGTGATCATGGGATATTTTCATTCAGACACAAAACATCAAAGAGAAAAAATCGATCACAAAACATCGATGTTAAAAAACATCGGTGTTAATGCATCGATGTTAAAAAACATCGGTGTTAATGCATCGATGTTAAAAAACATCGGTGTGAATGCATCGATGTTAAAAAACATCGGTGTGAATGCATCGATGTTTAAAAGATCGATGTACAAACATCGATGTTAAAAACATCGGTGTTAATGCATCGATGTTAAAAAGATCGATTTACAAACATCGATGTTTTTTAACATCGATGTTAATGCATCGATGTTTAAAAGATCGATGTACAAACATCGATGTTAAAAAACATCGGTGTTAATGCATCGATGTGTAAAAGATCGATTTACAAACATCGACGTTAAAAAACATCGGTGTTAATGCAACGATGTTTAAAAGATCGATGTGCAAACATCGATGTTTTGAAAACATCGACACCGATATCGCATCCCTAATTGGATGCCGTATGAGTTGAAGCGGAGAGACGTTGAACAGCGTTATCTCACGTGTGAAATTCTGCTTCAACGGCAGAGAAGAAAAGGTTTTTTTTGCATTGTATCATGACTGCCAGTGAAAAGTGGATACAGTCCGATATCCCTAAGTGTAAAAGATCGTGAGGTAAGCCCGGCCACTCATCAACATCATGCGCAAAGTCAAATATTACCTAGTTCGACGTTTCTCCTCTGCATTTGATGAGATCAGCTGTGTGTAATATATTATGATGAGCTTCTCAAACCAAACGAGACTATCATGGGAGACTACTATCGGCTGCAATTGATGCGTTTGAGCCTAACCCTAAAAGATAAACGGCCACTATACGAGCAGAGAAACGACAAGGCGAACTCAGCCACAAGTTGTAAAACCGGTGAAAATCTACTTGAAAACACTTAAATGGGATGTCCTGCACCGCCCGCCATATTCACAAGATAGAGATACTTCAGATCATCACGTATTCCGTTCTAGTATATGCATATGGCCTGGCGGAGCAGCGTTTCCATTCTAATGAAGATACAAAAAATGAGATGATTCTTAAATTGTCGCAAAAGACGTATCGTTTTTCCGAAGTGAATTTCATTTTGCTGCCAGAAAATCTGCGTAAAAGTAGTGGCAATGCTTTGAGTGACATATTGTGTACTGTACACATAGCATTAATTTTCACAAAAAACAACAACAAACAAAAAAACAGTGAGAACTTATGCAAGCACCTTTTATATTAACGTTCCTTTGTAATGTTCTTTTTCGAAATTATTTTTCTCCAAATTCTGGCTGTTTTAGACAAAAAAATTTCCTCTCAAATATTGTTTCTAGTAATCATTGATTTTACTACGCCTACCACCAACCCAATAATATTGGAAACTGAAAACACGACATGCTTCAGACGAATCAAATTTATTACAGTTGTGAATGGTAGAAGCCAATTGTTCTCTCAGTTTTAGGATATGCCAAAACAAGATGACTTGTTTTACTTCCTGCCATCGAAAGTCTTCCGACTATGTTCGGTCCTCTATAAAAATCATATTTTGACTCTGAAAATAAATGCCCTTTTATTGCCAACTATTCTTTGAATATCCTTTATCAGAAATATGGCTCTATTTTCTTCACAACCAAGCATTAACTTTTCACTCAACAGTTCAAAGAATAGGCCAAACAATTAGTGTTGGAGATAATTTCCAGTGTTACATGAATTAATTAAAAAGTTAATTTAATTCCCCAAGGGGATCGGCATATGTGGCTCAGGACATCAATTGATGGCACTGCAGTGCCTCTGACCGGGAGGTCCTAGGCATCCACTCCCAACGTTGGCAGTATTTTCGACACTAATTTCGATTACACATAAACTCTTTTCAAGATCACAAGCTGGAAAGAGAATTGATCGCTTAAGTGATTCCAGGCACGTCACCAGGGTAATTAGTACATGTGCATGTTTTTGCTCGGGAGGGGGCTGTGATATTTCCCTTACTGTATGATAAGATTCGGCGACTCTCCACTATCGGCTAATGGGGTTTTCCCAACCATGTATCTCCCGCTAGCGGGGCACCACCCCAGCAGGAATTAGCTCTAAGCTCCCGACCGGTCTCCCAGCATGTGTGCTTGTGTAGGGCGTGTTAGTGTATGTGAGCGTGTGTGTGTAAGGAGGAAGAACAGGTTAACGAAGAGGTAAAAAGATTGCTCGCGGTCCGTGGTCCGTTTGGTAGGTACTGCTCCGGCATTCGCCTGGTGTTGATCGTAGAAACCCCAAAAAACATACCAATCAGAGCAGTCGGCCGCTAGATTTCTCCTCCAGACAGCTTCTGAACTCGACCTAGCTGACAAGTCAATGTCAAAAATTCTGCCAACGTCGGGACTCAAACCTAGGACTTGCCAGTCAGAGGGGCTGCAGTGACACCAGTTGCTGACTATCTCTCCCGGTCTGAAAAGAGAAGTTCCACTCGGGAGCTTCAGTACTAAAAAATTAAGTCATAACGAAGCTCGCGATTTGATGACAGTATTCCCATCTCCTGCCAGCTCATGACCTTGAAAGAACTTGTTTTAATCGGAGTATACACAGCTAGGTAGAAGTCAACCGCTATCTGAAGGAGAATTCTAGCGGACGGCTGATCTGATCGATAGTTTTCAATTGTTTTTCTAATGCCGGAACAATATCCTACCAAATGGGTCTACGACCGCGCGCGATCTTCCCTTCCTTTTCCTTGTCCCATCCTCACCCCTTATTTACATGCACCTTACTACCACACATGCCGAGAGGTAATTCGGGAGCTTAGAGATTGCCCTGGCTGGGGCGGTGCCGGTGGTGGGAGATACCTGGTTGGGAAAAACACCCACAAGCCGACGGGTAAGTCGGCGTTGAATCTCGCCATCCAGCGGGGGAAGATCACCCCCCCACTACAATAACGTACACAACACTTACGGGATTAATGACCTTCACAGTTGACGCTCCCAGAAATACTAATCAGTCAATCCAAAGGGGAAGATCTCTTCTAAATAAATTGGAAAAGGAGGGTAAATGGATTTCATCCATTGAGAGTTTGCAGAAGTACACGTGGATAACAGTTTGAGATCCACATTCACAATAATAATAATAATAATAATAATAATAATAATAATAATAATAAGTGGTAAGGCGGAAGAGCAGGCCTCACGAGCAGGAGTCTCGCCACGTAAAATAAGGCATCAATTCAATAATATTAATAATAATAATAATAATAATAATAATAATAATAATAATAATAATAATAATAATATCAAGTGGCTCAGTGTGTAGCGCGTTGCATTCGCGATTCGCAATC